GGGCACTCGGGCTCTCCCGAGTCCAGACTTCTCGTTGAGAAGAGGGTGTCAATAGCATTCAGAGACCAGTTGATCAAATCCATAATTCTCTTTTAGGTTTTAGAGAACAACAGTGAGAGACTGTTCCAGGGAAAGTAATGCACATGAGACAGACAAGGACACAGAGGCTAAGCAGGGAAGATAAGGGTAAGGAGGAGAGGAGAAAAGTGCGACCGCCTTTGCTGAGAGCCAAACGAGAAAATTCTATTGATTCTATTTATTCTGCTGGATGGTTTCAACTTTCATCTGTCAAACTGTGGGACACTCTTCTTTCTGGAAGTCTTTTCTTTACAGTAGACTAGGATAATGGTATGTCTACTTCCTGAAGAGTGGGCTTCACTTGGTTGGGTCTTGCTTCTGTGGCCTGTTTCCATCGATGATACTACCCATGTGTTCTTTAGTTCCAAGATGTAGGAACCTCATTTTGGTTGCGCAGTTTCAGTTTGGCCTGTTTCTCTTGCTCTGGGAGCTTCTTTACCTGCAGCTTGTAGGTTCACAGCAACAGCTTCCAAAAGCAAATACTGCTTTGGATCTTTGCTGTTTGTTTTATTTCCAACAATTCATCCATCCAACCATGCAACTATCCAACCAACCATCCACCTAACCACCCAACTATCCAACCAACCATCCACCTAACCACCCAACTATCCAACCAACCATCCACCTAACCACCCAACCATCCAACCATCCAACTATCCAACCAACCATCCAACTAACCATCCAATCATGCAACTATCCAACTATCCATCTATCCATCCAACCAACCATTCAACTAACCACCTCACCATCCACCTAACCATCCAACCATCCATCTAGCCAACCAGCCATCCAACTAACCATCCAACCATGCAACTATCCAACCAACCATCCACCTAACCATCTAAACTGCAAACATGACTGTTAAATCAACATATGTATGAAAAGCTTTCTCTTTGCAGCTCCAACTATCCAACCAACCATCCAATCATCCACCTTAGCATCCAACCATGCAACTATCCAACCAACCATCCACCTAATCATCCAACTATCCAACCAACCATCCACCTAACCATCCAACCATGCAATTATCCAA